AAGCTCCCTCCCCATGGAGCCCACCTCCTCCGTCCCCGCTTCACTTCTCCCCAGGCTTCCAGTCCAGGGAGCACCTCCTCCCAGCTCCCCCTACGGCTCAGCCAGGTTTTTGCTTAGATCCTGCCACCCTCCCTCCCCCACCACTGCGCTGCCTGCCTGCCTGCCTGCTGCTCCCTCCCCGAGCTTAGACCCTTGGCTGTGGCGACCGAGGGCCTGGCGGGGGTCCCAGGCACCACACCGCAGCGGCCAGAGCTCGGGACAGTCCCAGTCTGTCTGGCAGGGATGTGAGTTCAGGATTGGCTGGCGCTGCCCCGCCTTTGGGAGGAGGGAGCTGTGGGGGGAGGCCGGTGGCTGGGTGGCTCATTCAAGGTCACCCTTCTTCCCTCGCCCAGCATCCCTGTTCAACTCCTGTCCCTTCTGCCTCACCTTGAGGAGGGAGGTGCCTAACAGGCAGACGACAGAGGAGCCCTGGGAAGAGGAAGGCTTTGGGGGCTCCTGGCGTTTATTCTTCAGCAAATACCGAGTGCCTGCTCCATGCCAGGCCCTGAGAACTTTGCAGCAACGAGCACAGTGGACAGCCCCTGCCTACAGCCCAGTGAGGAGACAGACAAGATATAAACAGTCACACAAATAATGTAAACGTGTGTCCCTAGCCGAGTGACAAAGGGATTTGGTCTGGTTTCCCTGGGGATCTCGGGGGTGAGGAGCCTCATCTAGGCCTAGGGCGGGAGGCGGCTCCGACTCGGCCAAGGCTTTCAGGAGGCCTGGGTGGGGGCCGAGCGACCTCAGTTTCCTCCACGGGAAAAGGCAGGAAATAAATGTGCCCGGATCACGGGGCTGCTGCACATAGGCGAGGAGGCCTGCAGCCCCCAGGAAGGAGGCCCTGTCCTCCTCCCCAGGAAGGGCGAGGGGAGCGCTCCACTCGGTGAGAATGGCGGCAGAACGGGGAGCGGTCTCACCAAGCCCGGAGATGGCCTCAGGGAGGGAAGGGACCCCAGTTCTCGGTCCCCGTTTTGGAGCTGTGCTGGCCCCTCCGCTGCCTAAGCTGTAGGGACGGAGGGTCTGGTTCCCCGGCTGCCTCTCCTCTCCCTCCCGCACCCCTGGTCCCTGCCTGGCCACGTGGCACCTCTGCGCCCTCGCCTGGGGGAGCGTGATGCCCGGTCTCGGGGCTGGGGCGCCAGGGAGAGTGTGAGGGATTTGGTCCCTCCACGAGGGAGACCAGGTCCCTCAGAGCAGCCCCAGGGCGGCAGGGAGGGGGTGCTGTCTCTTTAAGAGCCTTCAGGCTGCTAGGAGCAGATGGCCAGGCCAACCGGGGCCCCTTGTCCTTTGTGTGGCTTTGCACAAAAGAGGGGGCCAGCTGGGGAGGGGGCAGCTGCAGCAGGTGGGAGGGTGGGGCCTTGCCCCTCCCCCTTCTCACCCGGCTGCCATTGCCCTTGGGGAGCGTTTTCTCACTGGGATGCCTCTCCTGTCTGGATACTGTGGCCCCTACAGTCACCCCCAAATTCCGAGGAAAATCCCTCCCTTATTGTGTCCCACTTTGTAGGCAAAAGCATCATCACACTAGGGCCTGGCACCCCCCATCCAACCCCAAGGAATAAACCTCCCCGCCCTGCCCCCACCTCCCTAGCAGAGTCTCGGCCTTGAGCTCCAGGCTCTAGGGAGATGGGAGAACAGAATTAGGTTCTAATGTGTACACGTGTGCGTGGTGGGGGACGCTGGGCAGGAAGGGTGCCAGGGGCTGGGGGTACCGGGGCAGCCCTGGAGGAGGGGACAGAATATGCCTGATGCTGAGGCCTGGGGCACCGGGCTGGGCCCAGGACCAGGTCTGGGTAGAAAGAGGAGGCCAGGGTGGGGGATGGGGAACCCAACTGAGGCCCTGCCTAATGGGGTTCCGGTGTGGGCAAGATGGAAGACTCCATCCTAGGAGAGGGCTGTGTGCAGCGATGGCTGCCCGCCAGGCCGGAGGGGACAGAGATGACAGCCTTCTGAAGCCTGGAGGTGCTGGGGGCGGGGCGGGCCCTGCCGCTCGGGAAGGGTCAGGCTGGATGGAGGCTCTTTTCCTCGCGTAGCAGAACCCTCGGTCGGGTCTGCCCTGGGCCCATTCATTCCCCTCCTTTGTCCAGACCTCCCCACCCTGGGGCTGGGTGCCCAATCCGTGACTTAAGCGGAGGAAAAAGGCCCCGTAGCTCTGGCTGGAGGTGTGGCGGGCAACGTGGCCGCGGGCTGGGTGGCCCCAGGGTGGCCCCATGTGGCCCACTGTGCCCCAGCCGGGGGGAGTCCTGGCTGACTCCCCCCAACC